ATGAATTTATGAAAAGTTTATGAGTTTTTGTTTTCTTTTGTATCGGGGATGGAACCCAGAGGCATGTAAACACTGAGTCACATATCCCTGGCCACCCGGCTTTTATTTTTTAATTATTTTTTATTCTGAGACAGGGTCTCACTAAGTTGATACTCCTGCCTCAGTCTTCCAAGTCGCTGGGATTACAGGCGTGAACCACTGCACCCAGTCAGAGATAATTTCATTCAAACTAATTTTTTTCTCCTTTCTTTTCTTTTTTAAATTCCATTTTATTAGTTTACTTTTTAATGTGGTGCTGAGGATTGAACCTAGTGCCTCACACATGTTAGGCAATTGCTCCACCACTGAGCCACAACTCCAGCCCCAAATCTAATTTTTTTAAAATAGCCATTTAACTTTGTTATAACATTCTGATACAAAAAACCAAAAGCCACCCCCCTACAAAACAAACAAACAAACAAAAACAACTGAAAGCCCAATGTGAGGCTGGAGATGTAGCTAGATGGTGCAGCACTCGTCCAGCATGCGCAGGGCCCAGGTCCAGTCCCCAGGACCACATCAAAACAAAACAAAAGCCCAACTCAAATATAAATTAATCCAATAAAATTATCACAAATTACAGGTTTTGAGTTCATTTTTATCGTTGCACGATGACTTCCTGACAATGACAATTTCTCAAAACTTTCCTAAAATATGATTAATTTTTATAAAATATTCAAAGAACAAGAGAAAGGTTTAACTACCTCTAGAGGCAGGATGTGGCTTAAAAGCAAGTCTTTAGTGTGAAATGCAATTTTTTTTTTTTTTTAATTCCTGTGGGCTGGGGATCAAACCCAGGCCCTTGCAAATACCAGGCCAGCACTCTACCACCGGGCTACCTCCCCAGCCCTGAAACCTGCAGTTTTAAAATGCCTACGTGGACTTCACTAAAGTCCTACGATGTGTGCAAAGTCTGATTGCATTTGTGAAGGTCCATGCAAGCTGCAACCACCTGTTACAAATAACTGAGGGCCACCCAAACCATAGGCGGTCTCTCCATCTAGAAGCATGACTCTGCCAAGTGAGGCTTTAGGGCCCCGTCATTATCTCATTACAAATGTGCATGATCCCAAGCCACCATTTAAGGAAAACCCTCAATCACTGCTTTCCTCTGGGCTGCCCAGGCACCGCACATCTCAAGCCTCTGACCACCAGGAATGGGGGCCTGTTCTTCAGCTCCAGCTGCTTTCATGTTTATCTCAACAACCACTAATAGGTTAAGGCAGCTGAAGATGGGCATCTGGCTGCCCTGTGTGTCTTTGCATTTCAAATTAAAACTAAAAATGTGGCCTTTTCCAGTCCTGCAGTACTGTGCTCTTTCCCTCACCTCCACTAAACAGTAAGCGGCTCACGGCAGAGCTCCCCAGGCACAGGAATGCCTTGGAAAACAACCCCTCCGCCCGTATTTGTCCTTACAGACCTGCCGACTGGCTCACTCTTCCTCATCAAGTTACCAAGTGAAAAAATGTTCCAATACTTCACAATTTCTACCTTAAAATGTTTTTCAATTATTTTCATGTAGAAATTTCAAGCATACACAGTAGAAGGAATACGAGCAAGAGCTCTTCTGCATCCATCATCCAATTACAATAACTACCTTCAGGACCAATTTTGTTTCAATATCCCCCACCCACTACGACTGCAAATTCTGAGGCAAACGCAAGATTTTGTATCATTCATATACATTTCAGTACCTCATTATTTATTTATAATACCTTTAAACAAAATTAATTTTTAAAATTATTTATTTTTTAATGAGGATGGAGCCTAGTACCTCACATGTGTGAGGCAAGAGCTCCATCACTGAGCCCCCATTTGCTTTTTCCTGATGTATCATAATTGTACCTCAGTGTGAGATTCACATGCCATACACCACACACACATAACCTCGTCAATCTCATGCCCAGAACCTTCCCCCACCCATTTATTCTCTCCTGTCCTTGTTGTCCTTCCCTTCCCTCCATTCTCAAATGAAATATCTACAGAATGATGCAGGCAGTGGGAGCTATTTTATCATTTCTTCCCCCAGCTACCCACCCCTTGACTGAGATACCTGCTGTGACATTTCACCGACTTCACTATGGAATGCTTACCTCCATGTCTGTCCCTATTTCACTCAGAAACATATTGTACTTTTCCCTCCAAAAATTGAACATTGGGGGAAAAAAATTCTATCCTCTTGATGAGGATTATTTCTGATATGTTCCCCCATCCTCAAATAACCTAAAAAAATAAAAGGGGAGCAGGGCCCAGAGGCGTCTGCCTGTAATCCCAGCAACTGTGAAGGCTGAGGCAGGAGGCTCTCAAGTTTTAGGCTAACCTCAGTAATTCAGTGAGCCTCTGTCTTAAAATAAAAAATAAAAGGGTTGGAGGTATAGCTTAGTGGTAAAGCACCCCAGGATTCAAACCCCAATACAAAAGGGGGGAAATAAGTCAAAGTAAGGAGAAGAGGCACTGAAGAAGAAAGAAACACAGACCTAAAGGGGTGGATCTCTGCCTAATTGGGTGCAAATATGTTAAACCATTAATTTATTTTCAAAATGAATATTTGTAAACATCAGCTAAAATTTTGTCATGAATCCCTTTAGACAGAGGATGTTTATAAAATGAATTATCTTAATTTAAGGGAGCTTTTGCCCTCAGGATTTTAGTATTACTAACAGTAGCTGCTTTGGAGCCTAAGAAATGGTTATGTAAAAACAATTAAAGCCAAATTTTTTTTTTTCTTTCAGGGAGGATGCGCTCTGTTTCTGTAATTGCTCTAACCTTGTTTTATTTTGACATGAGATTTCTTGGCCTCATCCCAGACAGCAACCACCACCCCACACTTTCTCCTCCACACCCTTCACAAATGGAATTCCAAAAGGTAGGAAGCAGGCACTTCTGCTTCATCCTGGAGTTCATCCTGGGCCACAGCGTTCTTGAGCACAGTTCAGGGCAACAATCGAGACTTCCGCGGCTCTTGCCCCTGACCACTGCACTGCCGTCTCTGGCCCACGATCTCCCCAAGAGCCTGGGGAGGGCAGCGAAACAATCTGGGTCCCAAACAGCCTCTCCCCGCGGGTATGGCCTGTGAACTGCCTCGGGTCGCCTGGTGGCTCTCGGTGAGGCGATAGCTTCTAGGCACCAAGTTGCTTGTTTACCCCAGGCTAAGGGCACCGGCCGAGGCAGCCCTCACTGCCGACCTTACCCACTTGAAACTGTTTCCTCTGGGCAGCAGATAAAGACCGGCTTACCCTGCGAATGCTCTTTCCTGAAATGGATAACGAAAGACCTCTAACTCCTACTACTTTCCTCCTCCAGGCCAAACGCCGCAGCCCCCTCTAATTCAGGATCTGAGTTGCCCCAAAGAACAAGTGCGCCCCGAACGGCGCGGGTCCCAAGTCCCTGCTTCCAGAGGGAAGACCTCACTTCTCGTCCTTGACACCCCAAAACCCAAGGCGGGGACCCGGATCCCGCCGCGGC